ACAAAAGACTTTTTCATACAGTTTACGTAGCCTTATCCTTTTTAGTCTTTGTCCCAATAGAATCACAAACCCTCAATGTTCTCAATCATATGTAGTCTGCTAGAGATTCAAACTACAAGTGAGCTACTCGGGAGCAGCTCGATCAATGGTTTGACTCGAGTTTGAGTAACTCATTTTGTCAAATCGAGTTGAGCAAAAGCCTTAGAGAAGGAGGCTCAAGTGCTTGACGAACTTATTCAAGAAATTAGGTTTTTTAAATTTAAAAATAATATATATGTGTGTGTGTGTGTTACACTTATAAGTATAAAAGTTGTGAAATTTTCTACTAAAAAATTGAGTTCAAGTTCGAATGGCTCGGAAGGATCTTCGAACTCAATTGAATTGAGCTTGAACTTATATACTGTTTGTTCAAGTGGAGTTTGAACTTAAGAATCTTTACTCATTTGAGTTTGAGCTTGACCTCAAATAACACTAACAATGATCGAGTTCAATTTCGAGTATGACACTACTCGAACTCGAGTCAGTTCGAATACACCCCTAATGATATATATATATATATATATATAACACTTGAGCTTGCACAACTTTTCAGACAGCAACATAGATCACAACGGAGACAAAGTTACAGCTTCTTTCTCCAATTTTACAGTGCATCCGGCCTAGCCAAATGCGGTCTTCGAGGGGAGTCTGGTACAGCAACAAGAAATAAAGAAACTATAATGGATTTTTTTTTTGTTAGTTTCTCTGCGAAAATATTAGTATCATCATGAATTAATAAATAAAATTCTAAAATTGTACATATTTTAGATGATATAGCACATACTTACAAGTTGTAGCTCTGATTAAGGTTTGAAATGTTAAGAAAACAAATAGAGATACAACTACAGTAAATTAATTTTCCCAAAAGATCATTTTTTTTCAAGTCTGACACCCCCAATCTTGTAATTTCTTTCCTTCAATATCCGTGAAAAATGTCCAGAGGTGTTCCCAAAGCCAACAGACGGTTCAGGACAAAGAAGCAGGTTGGAGCCAGTTCACAAACATTATCCAGTTAGTAAGTTTAGTGGACTATGACTTGTTTTGTTATAGAATTAATTGGCAGGCGATTCTAATCCCGGCTGAGGTAATCTGATTAGTTTTGGATTTGGTTTTGTTGGTCAATTCATCAAGCTGCAAATAATGATGGTATCCTTGTAATCCTTTAAATTCCTATCACTTTACTTTTTGGTGTCTGTATAATATCCTTGTAATCCTTTCGAACATGCATTTAAGAATAAAGACTCTAATTGACTAGTCAGCAAATAGATGATGGATGCAATTTGATTTTGCCCCTAAATTACAGAACTTTTGAGCTTGGAGGGCTGAATTAAGAATCCTTGCTACTTTGAACATGCAGCGTAGCATTAGCTTGCAACTATGACTTTTGGCTAGACCGAGTTTATCAAAGGAATGCCAATTAGCCAAAGATTATTACCACCGAAGTATCTAAAACGTATCTTCTGTTTTTGTGGACCACTCCCCCCCTCTCCTCTCTCTCTCTCTCTCTCTTTCTTACCTTCCACTCCTTCTTATACCCTTTCCAAACTCAAGTGTCAGATTCAAAATTCAAACCCTAAAACTAGCAGTGGAAAACCATCCTCTAGTCGAAACTTCAAACTTCAATTCTTTTTTTTTTTAAGTAACCAATGAAAAATAGAATGATCCCAGCCCCACTTTTAGCGATTATTGGTACCTTCATTTTAGCAAAGATCGCACAAGTTTTATTCAATTGAAAGTGCTAGATTTGGATTTAGAAAAGTCAACCATCCACGAACGTCATGAAAGTCGTCCGAGTTCTTCACTAAATGGACCGCTTAATTTATCCATTTCGGAGGTTTATCATCCTTGGAAATTAGGCCAAAATTTGTGCTAGTGAATTGAATCCAAGCGTCTTTTTAAGTGAAATGTCCAAGTTTTATCAACTGAGGAATTGCAGTAGATAAAACGTCTAAATCAAACTAACAGTGGAAAGTGGACAACCATCCTCAAGATTTTTTTTTTTTAAGTAACCAATGAAAAATAGAATGATCCCAGCCCCACTTTAACGATTATTGGTACCTTCATTTTAGTAGAGAGCGCACAAGTTTCATTCAGTTGAAAACGCTAGATTTGGATTTAGAAAAGTCTGCCATCCACGAACGTCATGAAAGTCGTCCGAGTTTTTCACTAAATGGACAGCTTAATTTATCCATTTCGAAGGTATATCATCCTTCGAAATTAGGCCAAAATTTGTGCTAGTGAATTGAATCCAAGCGTCTTTTTATGTGAAATGTCCAAGTTTTATCAACTGAGAAATTACCATAGATAAAACGTCTAAAACAAATTAGTAGTGGAAAGTGGACAACCATCCTCTAGTCGAAACATCAAACTTCAATTCTTTTTTTTTTAAGTAACCAATGAAAAATAGAATGATCCCAGCCCCACTTTGAATGTGCTAGATTTGGATTTAGAAAAGTCTGCCATCCACGAACGTCATGAAAGTCGTTCGAGTTTTTCAATAAATGGACCGCTTAATTTATCCATTTTGGAGGTATATCATCCTTGGAAATTAGGCCAAAATTTGTGCTAGCGAATTGAATCCAAGCGTCTTTTTAAGTGAAATGTCCAAGTTTTATCAACTGAGGAATTACAGTAGATAAAACATCTAAAACAAACTAGCAGTGGAAAGTGGACAACCATCCTCTAGTCGAAACGTCAAACTTCAATTCTTTTTTTTTTTAAGTAACCAATGAAAAATAGAATGATCCCAGCCCCACTTTAGCAATTATTGGTACCATCATTTTGGCAGAGACCGCATAAGTTTCATTCAGTTGAAAGCGCTAGATTTGGATTTAGAAAAGTCAGGCATCCACGAACGTCATGAAAGTCGTTCGAGTTTTTCACTAAATGGACCGCTTAATTATCCATTTCGGAGGTATATCATCCTTGGAAATTAGGCCAAAATTTGTGCTAGTGAATTGAATCCAAGCATCTTTTTAAGTGAAATGTCCAAGTTTTATCAACTGAGGAATTACAGTAGATAAAACGTCTAAAACAAACTAGCAGTGGAAAGTGGACAACCATCCTCTAGTTGAAACTTCAAACTTCAATTCTTTATTTTTTTTAAGTAACCAATGAAAAATAGAATGATCCCAGCCCCACTTTAGCAATTATTGGTACCATCATTTTGGCAGAGACCGCACAAGTTTCATTCAGTTGAAAGCGCTAGATTTGGATTTAGAAAGGTCAGCCATCCACGAACGTCATGAAAGTCGTACGAGTTTTTCACTAAATAGACCGTTTAATTTATCCATTTCGGAGGTATATCATCCTTGGAAATTAGGCCAAAATTTGTGCTAGTGAATTGAATCCAAGTGTCTTTTTAAGTGAAATGTCCAAGTTTTATCAACTGAGGAATTACAGTAGATAAAACGTCTAAAACAATAGGTAAAAGATATTTAATACATCTTATACCTCAATACCATCACCGGTATGATCCCACTACTCCCAATTACCATGAACAAATACGGGATGATGGAGCACATCTTTTTTGCAACCCAATGGGTTTACATCTAATAGCCAAATGTATGTGTACTAAGAAATTAAGAATACAAAATCCCCAATAACTTTGAAGACTTCAGTCCCTCAATCCTTTGTTATGATGATTTGAACTAATATTTTCCAATGAAAGTTCTGATAGCACAGGTGCTCAATCACTAGTGAAAAAAGAAAAGAAAAGAAAAGCAAGAAGAAATGAACGGCGTCGCAATCTGTTGGACGCAGCTTCAAACACTCCTTGGAGGATTGGACGTACAAAGCAACCTTTCAAGGAACTACATCCATTTTCGGACACACTTTTGAACACAAGAAACAAGGATCGGCTGTCCAAACATGGGAGAGCAAATATCAATCTTGATTGAATGAATCTCTCGGACAATGGGCATCCCTATCGACCATTCGAAAATTCAAAAGCCAAGTTGGAATCCTCAGGTCATCCGTCAGATGGACTCTTGGACAAAGGAGAACGTGCATTGGCCATCCGAACATCTACACAACAAAGCTACTCATCCTTGATTGAACGATTGTATCGAACGCTAGCATAACGAACAGAAATCTGATAGTTTCAACGGCTAGTTTTTCCTGCATTAAATGCTTGACTATTAGAGGGCATTTTGAACCAATTTTTGGGGTCCTATAAATACCATAAAGTCTATAAACTTATTCAGAAATTTTGTCTATATCAATTATAAGCTCTCTAGAGTAATTTTGGTTAAAAAAATACTCTCTCTTGTTCACTTGTAGTTTTTTATGAGGTTGAAAAGCATGTAAAATTCTTCATTGTAATTGTGAGCAATTCAATTTTAGCTTGGAAAGGTTAGATATATAGGAAGTGTAAAACCTTTTGACTCAACTAAGGAGAGATTAATGTGAGTAAAGGTAATCATATCTTTGTACAAAGTGGCATTGTTTCATCAATATTGAAGAATTTTTTAATGGATCAACTTCGATCTTGGAGAAGCTTGGAAGTGTACCTTGGTATCATGAGAGTACCATTTCATTTGGTTTACTTTATTTTAATCTATTGCTCATTGTTTGCTCATTTAGGTGCTATACTTGCCTCATCTTTATTGTTTTCTACTTACTCGCTTTAGTTTGTGATCATTTAGATAAATTTGGTTAGTTAAAATTAGATAAAATCTGCCATAACTTATCTAGTTTTTATATAACTTAATTCACTCCTCCTCTTAGGTTACACTTGACACTTGCAAAGTTTATAAGAGAAGTGACAACAATTTTTATTTCATGACGAATTGAGCTTACCTCAAAATTTTTCACTTAAGTCTCTTTCAAGCACAAGACTTCAGAATAAGGAATTGGGACAGATTCCTTCTAGTCCACAGGCGTCTAATATGGTGTGACAGAAGGACGCCACAGAAAAAAGTAGAAGACCCATGCAAGTCTTTAAAGTCTAATTTCATTTGTGATATATGGGGTCAAATAAAACAGCAGCTACACAAGACATTTTCATAAGGCTCACGTAGCCTTATCCTTTCAAATCTTTCTCCGAATCTCAATCATAGATATAACACTAGAGATTGTACAAGTTATGAGACAGCCACATGGAAATAAACAATGACGAGCAAGACTTTTGCTTCTCCTATGTTCATCTTCTTTTGGCTTTTGATGATTTCCATCATTTTAGTCCAACCAGCTCTCTCTGGACGGACACTTGGCAGCAGCGGTAAGTATACACATCTTTCTTATTGACAGTTTTTTTTTTAAATTGCTCAGCAGTGAGTTTGCTTTAATCGAAAACATTCATCTAAATTTGATACACTTACTATAAACTATGATGATGGTAGTATAAATCATTGATGCATGAAAGTTGTTGATTTGGGAATTAGATTAGAAGGAAATTGAACTATTTTCCTCGTTCTCTCTAGAACTTCTCCTATCAAAATCTCCTCTGCCTTTTTCACGGAAGAGAGATCAGATAAATTTGGTCTTTTCCCATAAAAGGGAGTCCACTCTTTAATATTTTAGTTTTTGTCATAGTAATAAATTCTCTTCTAGAGTTTTCTAATGACAGATTCTTCTCTTAAAGGATCTCCTAGTGAGAGTTTCTTCTTCCCCAATTTCTTCTAATGAAAGTTTTATTTTTCCCCTGATTTTTTTCCTTATGAGATTTTTTTTTCAATTTTTTTCATTTTCTGTGAAACTTGAGATTTTGTAGATTTAATTTTTCACATTTGCAATTTCTCCATTTATTATTATCGAATCTAAACTTCTCGTTGAAGTTGAACTAATATTTAATCATATCTCGTGCTATAAGAAAAATGCACAAATTTATTGGATTAAAATGATTTATCTAGATGGGAGACATGATATATTGGAGCATCAATGTTATATTTATTTATATTAATTTTTCAAATCTATTGTATCTATTAATTTCATACCTATATGTATTTGTGTCACATTTGATTTGATGTATTTCTACCATTAATGCAGATTGAATAATCCTTTCTATCAAAAAAGAATACAAGGAAATTGACGTGGATGTTGCCCTTTTGATATTAATATCTCATTTTATTGTGGCAGTAATTTTTTGTATTTTGGCAGGTGGTGACGGCATGATTGGAGTCGATCCAGGTCGTGCTCCCAAGGCAACTGGTACAAGTTCTCCTACTAACTCTGCTCCTAAAGCTGTAGGCCGTGGACCCATAGGTTATAGGCCATTACACAGGCCTCCAATTTGCAACAGACCGTTTTACAGTCGCTGCATCATCCCACCAAAAAGACGATGTAGTTATTATAACCGTTGCCGACCCCCACTCCCACCAAAATAAAGTTGCCAATCAAAGTGGACTCGACCCGATCAACCCCTACTAATAAAGTTGGACTGATACTGCTCCAACCGCAGCTAAGCTCATATAATACTGAGCCGACGCAATGGAAATATACGTATGGATAAGACGTTTTGGGAATGTTTTTAAAAAAGTTTACAATAGTGTGAAAAACTTTTAATGTAGATGATTAGATAGTGTGAAAAACTTACTGTCATATTATATTTAAAATATTTAATTATGAAAAAACGGTAAATTCGTACAGACCTACATTTCAAGTGTTTGTAAAAAATTAAATATATGAAGAGATTGTATATGTGTTGATTGTAATTTAGTAAATTCTTACACATGCATAAGCTCTCAAACTACTTATTTTACTAAATCATTCTTCATGATAATATTTGGCCTTCACATTTTTCTATCTATAATGGATAAAAATGTGTTTTGACAAGAGCTCTTGTAGTTTGGTATGTCATAAGTACACCTAATGGTGATATAAATCAAGTTTAGGGGTTTATATTCTCAACCTAGAAGAGGAGATAGCTTTATCTAAAATATGAAATTTCTCGTTTGGTCCAAACTTAAACTTTGTGAAGTTTGGTTACAAATTCCAATTGACGTTGGTAACTGGATGAAATCTCTGCATGGGTACATCTTATTGACCATACGATTCACTTTGGTACTGCTTTTTATTTTTATTTTTATTTTTTCCCTTTTTCTTTTGTAGACTGTTTTAATTTGTAAAAGTTTCATTAATGTTTATTCATGCTATCAGCAATAGCTATGACAGTCAAATCACATAGACTATCTATCTATTATACTTATAACTATATGTTATACCAAATTAAAGAACTATTATGACTAAATGACAGGGGAATTTGGAGTTAGGTAGGTTTGACTCTCCCTCTCTTAGGCTTCTTGTTAATTTGGAGTTAGGTCATTTGGATTAAATTTGCACAAATTTTTCTCTTTGATAGATACTTTGTCCTGCAAATGGAAAAGTATGCAAGAATATTGAGTATATTGGCATCCATTTGAGTTTTCAGTGTGCAAGTTTGCAAACTGTTTATGTTGGTTCAGGACGAGTATTTTGTTATTGGTGAAGGAATTTTAATGTGCATATCTGGTTGCATGGCAGCACCTTTACTGCCAAAACTGTGCTTTGTAAAGAGTTCAGAAAATATTCATACCAATAAAAAAGAAAAGAAAAAAAATCTCACTTTAATTGATTTACTATGCCAAGTTGTACACAGGTAATATATTCTTTAGTTTCTCCAGTAATGGTCCATTACGTTCAGTTAAAGTAGCTTTGAAAACTAAGAAACTACTCGTTATAGAAGAAGAAGAGATCAATATAGTGATGTCCATCTTTTTCTTATTTTGGATATTTATTACCCTTGTAATTCAATTTAACTTAAAGCATAGAACATGCAGAAATTAAGAAGAAGTACTACTTGCCCTTTTCATTAGTTTGTATGTCACGGTTTTCTTTACAAATTGAAGTTGAATAATTGAGTTTCTATGGCACTATTCTTGATTATTTTAGACTTTACAAAATCTGATTACAGAAATTAATGATAAGCAAAAACTACTCTTTTGGGTGATTATGAATTTTAACTTTTTTAGTGATTAGAAAATTCATGATCAGAAGACAAAAGTAATCGAAAATATTACAAAAACTAATTATCCAAAATTAGAATCTATAATCAGTTAAAATAATCAATCAAAAAACAAGTGATAGAAAGCGAATTGGTTTGCATCCAAGTCCTTCGTCTTCCGCCCCTTTTGCCACCGGCGAAGGTACTCCTAACTCGGGCAGCACCACCCCGAAAAATTTTCCCTGCAGCCGGACGGGAGCTCTGTCTATTAATCGCAAGATATTTTTCTTATGGTGCAATTGATATTTGCAAACCACAAGGCGTACAAGCAAATCCTTACATACAAGGGTGCAGTTCAATTGCTCGTTCCCGAAATATATATTATTCCTTAAAAGCCCAGTGCAGTTTTGCCGACAAATTTTGGCAGTAAAGTATTCCTGAAATGATATACTTATGATTTTTATTTTGAAGGAATCATGGATTAATTGTTTATTTCTTTTACCTTTTCTAATAAGGTCAGTTGCGTATTCTTTAAGGGTGATTGCACATTTCCATTTTTCAGCTTTCATGGCCAATTGAAATTGAATTACGTTGGCCAAGATACTAATGTTGGGAAAGATTAAGTTGCACCACTTTCATGTAGTCTCAAAGGAAAATATGAAAATGAAATAAGGAATCCCTAGAAAATGAAAAAATACAAAAATCTTCATAGGAATCCTTAGAAGAACCGAAAATTCTCACTAAAATTTTTTAGGAGAAATAAAAAATTTTTACTAAGAAAATTTAGGAAAAACTTTATTAGACTTTATTAGAAAAACAAAAAAAAAAATCCATGGATTGGTCTTTCTCCCGAAGAAGGCTTTTTGAGAAGAGGTGAAAAAATAGAGAGAATTTAAGATAGAAAGAGAAGTGGCTGCAATTTTAGCAGAAGCCCATCCTTATTGAACTAAGACATAAAAGACGAAGCAATAAATTCACTGTTTGGTTGTCTAACACATTTAAGTGATGGACCCAACTTACAACTCTTTTATTTACATAGAGTTTTTGTAGGACAATATAAACCAAGTTTAGTAATTTGTTTATTTGGTTATATGTTAGTTGAGGTCATGTGTTATTAATATATTGGTTAGTACAATACGTTGCATTGTAAATTAGTAAAGTTAGCTACATTGGATTTGGCCCATAATGTTAGACTGTTAGTAATAGAAGTGAGCCAGTAAGGGATTAGTATTGTTGCCTCCGTTTTCGTTTGAAGAATCAGTAGCCTGGTTGTTTCCTTTTTCTTGTATTGTACAGTAGCCGTAGCCTCGTATGATTAGTCAAGAAATTTCCTTTGCCTCATATATCAAATTTTTTCTGATTGTTCCTGTGGATTTATGTTTGATTATTATTTTGGATCCATCAGAGTGGTATCAAAGTTACGGTAGATTGAAGTACGGTAAACCCTAATTTTAATATTATTTGTTCTATCAAAAAACTCAAAACAAAGGTAAAATTTAATTTTTGACCAAAACAGATGATAACTCATCTCAAGGCATGTAAATTAATTGATATATTGAATCAATTTTTGAAAAAATTACTACGGCTCACTCAGCAAGGAGAGTTGGGATATATTGGAAAAGACATACAAAAGGATTAACAGGATCCAACAAAATAATTTGATGATGTTAAAAAGGAAATTTAAACTTGTCTATTGAATCATATTTTTCTCGTTTTTCAGATATTAAAAACGAGATCGCACTTAATCAGTATGACGTTCTTGCCAGAACATTTATTGTGAAAGTTGTCAACACCCTATCCATGAATTTTAATCATATAGTAGCTGTGATTCAGGAGATAAAGATTAGGAAAATTTTAAGTATTGAAGAATTGTAGGAATCATTAATTCTATATGAGCAAAGAATGAATAAAAAGTTGGAAAATACCCTGGAGAAGGATATAATAGAGAAGGTATTACAAATGCAGTTACATTTGAGAGGTAATAATGAAGCAAATGAGCAAAGTGAATTCAGTCAGATGAATCCAAGCTACAATAATAGAGGTGGCTAAAATATCAGAGGTGGTCGTGGCAACAATAATAGAGGCAGAGGAGGTACATCAAATCTTGGACGCGATAGAGGTAATAATTTAATTTTAAAGGTGGTCATGGTAGAGGCAGAGGTGGTAATTTTGGCAAAGAAAATAATTTTAATCAATATAATTTTAAAATAATTTTGGACAGAGAATTTAATGTTATAATTGTGAAAAATTGAGCCATAGACAGTTTAAATACAGATTTTGAAAAATTATAGACAAAAATTTTTAGATTAATGTTTCTGACAATCAGGTTTAGGATAATAATAAAAAATCTAAAATTTTATTATTAACTTGTAATATTGTTGATGTGGTTGATAAAAAAAATGGAATTTAAATATGGGTTACAACAATCATATATCTGGCAAGAAAGAATTATGTTTTGAGATTGACGAATCTGTCGATGGTGAAATTAAATTTGGAAATAACATTATTTTACTAGTGTTTGGCAGAGAAAAAATTCCTATCAGTTTAAAAAATGGGTCTACTAATTTTATTTCTGATGTTTTCTATGTTCATGAGTTGCATCATAATTTGTTAAGTATGGATCAATTGTCTAAGAAAAAAATATATGATATTCGTATTAGGAATGGTACTTACACCATTTTTAATAAAAAAAATATTAAAATGATTGCCAGTGTGTTAATGACTTCAAATCGCTTATTTTCACTAAAATTGAGTACTTCCAATTTTTCTTGTTTAATTACGATGATAGATGACAATAATTGGTTTTGACGGTTTGAGATTTTTGGCTAATAGAAAAATGATTAGTAGGCAGCCTAGTATTAGAAATTCTGGTAAAATTTGTAATATGTGTGTTTTGAAAAAACAACACAGGGTTGTCTTTCAGATAGGCAAATCCTGAAGGGTTAGAAGACCAATGAAAATTATTCATTCATATTTGTGCACTGTGAAAGTTCCTTCTAATGGTGATTGTAGGCATTTTATTACCTTTATGAATGATTTCAGTAGAAAAGCCCGGGTGTATTTTTTGAAACAAAAATCTGAAGCCCATGACACTTTTAAAATTATTAAGACTTTTGTTGAGAAGCAAAGTGGCTATTAGATTAAAATTTTGAGAACTGATAGGGATCAGGAATATTTGGTGTGTGATGATTTTCTTGAGAAAAATGGAATATAGCATCAGTTGACTATTAGGTACACTTCACAACAAATGGAGTGACAAAGAGGAAGAATAGAACTATTATAAATATGGTAAAATCTATGTTGAAACTGAAAAATATGCCAAACTCTTTTTGGGTAGAGGCAATTTTTGGTACAATTTATTTGTTGAACATGTGAACTTTCAAAAGTGTTCTAAAAAAAACTCCTGAAGAAGTATGGAATGGTAGAAGACCTTTTGTTGGCCATCTCAAAGTTTTTGGGTGTATTATCTATTCCCTTGTTCATGATCAATTAAGGAAAAAACTTGATGATAAGGGGAAGAAATGTGTATTTATTGGCTACAGTGAAGTTTTCTAAGCTTATAGGTTATATAATCTTGTGACAGAAAAAGTGAGGGTGAGTAAAGATGTGGCCTTTGACGAAAGAGGTGTTTGGGACTGGTCTACTGAAAATTCTAATATAGCAGAGGTAACTGTGAAGACTCATATTTTATTTCTCAATTTAGTCATTTTATAAGTATTTGCTCTAGTGTTAGTTAATTATATTTTAGTTGCATGAATTTCTTTTAAATTTTCGCCTTATCGCGCGCGCGTCGCAAATTTCTCGAAAATCATATCGCGTGACTAATTAGAGACTTGAGGAATTAATACTAGACTTGTAAGTGTGAGTAATTACAATGTTAGAGGAATTACATTGGAAGATTAGTGCATAAGTGTACCAAACAAGAGAGGAATCGGTAGTGCACGACACTATTTCGACAACTATTCAAAGTTGACTTTTTGCACCCAACTTAAAGCAACTTTCCTTCATTCTTCCCTCACAAGCTAAACACTCAAACCCTCATCTTTCTCCTCTCCATTCAGCCGACC